CACGGTAGCCCATGGCAACCCACTGCCACAGGGACTGCAGCCTACGCGGTTGCCAGCGACTCACGGCAGCCCAGCTCCAGGTTGAGCTGTTGTTCAGCATCTTAGCTGTGGAGAACAGTGTTCACTGGCCCTCATATGTGGGATCCGAACCGGGGCCCTCTGGCATCCCAAGTGAGTTCTTAACCATCGCGCCACTCGGCCGGCCCCTAAAAATTATTTTTAAATAAATAAATAACACAAGTTAATTGTAGAAAATTTAGGCAATAAAGAAAAACATAAGAAAAGATGAAATGCACCTTTCGTCTTTTCCTCACTGAATCCCATTACATTTTGGTGTGTTTTTGTGTGTGTGTGTTTAAATTGAGACTATATAATGATCTGTCTGACACACATCTTCCTGTGCCATTAATCTTTAGTAACATGATTTTACTAGCTTCATGTACTCTGTAAATTGAATATACTTTTAGTTAACCAAAATTCTTTTCTTGAAGAGCTACACTATTCTCCTATCTTATTTTTTTTAATACCACCCAGATAAACGTCATCTTATGTATGTACGTAAACATAATATAGATCTCCATAAACATAATATTGAAAGAAAAATGAAAGTTACAGAACAATACGTAGGTTTCAAGCAGTAAACAATTATGTTTTCCAGGAGTACATAAATAACTTTGGAAACACATAGAAAATGTCTGCAAAGATATAAACAAAATTGAAAATAGTAGTTTCTTTTGGAGTATTAGGGAACCAACAAGATCAGCAGACTTTATGAAATAGAAATAGGCTTATATGAATTATCATGTTTTATAATATACTTTGTAATCTTGTCAGTACCTCTCTCACATCAGCTGTGGTATAGACCTACATTGTTTTTTAATTACATGAAATTAAAGTAATTTATTCCCCCCCCCGTTAATGGATTTTTCAGTTGTGTGCAGTTTTTGCTACTATAAACAACGCTTATGTGAACATCTTTGATCATGCATCTGCCTGCGCTTGTTTGTTTTCTTAGGAAAAATTCCTAGAATTAGAATGTCTGCATCAAAGGGTATATATACTTTTTAGGCTTTTCATAAATATTTTTAGATTGCACTTCAGCAAATTGAACCTGTTTCCACTAATAGTGTACATCTGTACCCTTCTCTCTGCACACTTGAAAACACTGAATATTATCACTCTTATGAGGGCAAATTTTTTCCATTGAAAATATTTATTTCAAAATAATATGTCTGGTGTACAAATGCAGATGTTAAAAGAGCTTGTGAGATGGAGGTGCGGGGAGGTAGAAAAGGGTAAAGGGGGTCAAATATATGCTGAAGGTAGGAGATTTGACTCTGGGTGGTGAACACAATGCAATGTACAGATGGTGTGTTATAGAATTGTACACCTGAAGCCTATCTAATTTTATTAACCAATGTTACCCCAATAAATTTGATAAAGTTAAAAAAAATGTAGAGAATAAAATGTAAAGTATACTGCCACTCTTATACTCTCCCTTATATAATTTTTAACTTCTGCTCAATTGGACAAAGAACGTGACTTTGCATGGTTTTTAATAACTAGTGATTACTTACTGTTTGAATTTTTTCTGGGTGAATTTCCTATTTGTGGTTTCTCTTGCAATATTCATATTGTTAATTATTTAAGGGCTGTTTATATAGTAAGGACATTTAACAATTTTATAGTGATTTTTTTTGAGGGGGGCATATGATAGTTTTTAGCATTTTTGGATTCACATGTATGAATCATTATAAATTCTGCCTTTGGAGTCATGCTTTTCATCTTTTTCCCTACCCTAGTTTGTAAATACTTCACCTATATGTTCTCTTAATACTTTTTTTCTTTTAAGGGATACCTAATTAAGTTGGAATCATAAAATATCCAAGCACTACTCATATACTTTATTAAAACTAGTCAGGCGTAAGTACCCAGAACTTAAGTACGGAAACAATAATATCCTGGTGTGATGTGTTAAGTGTTCACTCTTTCATGTACAGCCTTTATAACCCCCACAGAGAGATGTGCCCAGAGTGAGCGTGGAATGTAAGCAGCCTACGTGCATTTTGGCAGTTGTTCTCATTTACAGTTTTTCCTCTACCCATATAAACTGAAACTATCAAAGTGTGTGTGTGTGTTAAAATATATATAACATAAAATTTGCCATTTTAACTTTTTAAATGCACAGTTTAGTGATTAATTACATTGACAGTGTTGTGTCTTTTAGTACTTTTTATGGTTTTGATTTTTGCCCTAAAATTTTAATCCACCTAGAATTATTTTGGCTTATAATGTGAGGTGAAATTGAGTTCTTCGAATATGTAACCAGTTGCCCCAGCCCAAATTTTTAATGAATTCTCCCTTCCTCTGCATGTTTGAAATGACATCCTCAACATATATGAAATTCTTAGGCTTAATACTAGGTCTGTTCCTATTTTGAATTCCGTTCCATTGATGTTTGTATCATCCTGCACAATGCCACACTTTTCATTTTCACAACTTGATAATATTTTTTAAATGTCTGATAAAGTCTGATACAAGGATTACAAAACCACAGAGATTTTGTTCTTGATTCTGGATATCCCCCTTCTCTTTGTACATATAATATGCTGAATTGTTGGCATGTGAAAATGTATTATACTTAGATATGTATTGATCATGTTGGTGCGGTGTCCTTTATTTCAAACCAGTTGATGAAAGAGCTGTTCTCTGTAGTTAACTGAAAGTTAAAAAAAGAAATCCTAACAGTAGCTAAGATTCATACATTAGACCCCCAGTCAAACACAAAATTGGAAAAAGTGCTCCTTTTTTCTTCATTAATTGCTAGATAGTCTTCAATGGTGAGCCAGCTTGGTTCCAGGACTGCTAGGGCAGGAAACGTATATTCTTATTACTCAGGACTATGGGCAGTATTCACATTGGAACAACCTTAAAGCTTTGAAAATGTTTTGCATTTTGTGTTTTTAAGACCTTGCCACCATGGAAGAAAGAATACAGAGACGATATTATGAAAAGCTGACGGAATTTGTGGCAGATATGACCAAAATTTTTGATAACTGTCGTTACTACAATCCAAGTGACTCCCCTTTTTACCAGTGTGCAGAAGTTCTTGAATCATTCTTTGTACAGAAATTGAAAGGATTCAAAGCTAGCAGGTGAGCAGACGTGTTCAGTGTTATACTGTTCTAAGGAACGAGTCAATGCAGTTTATTGTAAATTTGAACCTTCAAATCAAGAATCCTTAAAAAAAAAAAAAAATCAAGACTAGCCTTACGATATACTGTCAAGGACAAGAGGACAGACTCATAATGACAAATTGCTGAGTTTGCGATATGCTGAAAATTAAAGTCATTTTTTAAAATTCAAAAAGCATTTATCAAATGTTTACAGAATGCAAGATGCTCTCTGAAATGCCATGGGGCACGTGTAGCGGTAGTAGTAAGTAGACAGAGCACGTGCTCTCGTTGCATTGACAGAAGTATAAAAATGACTGTTCTGTAGAGCAGAGGGAGGGGCGGGCCATGAAGGGGGGATGTAAGCACTTTCTCCTTATTTCACATTTGCTATATATCTTTGAAATCTTAAATTGTTTTATTTTTCTGGGTATTTTTTTCTGTGGGCAAAACTAGACTTTTGGCCCACAGACCTTTTCTTCGAACCTGTGGTAACATAAAAGCGTTGAGTAACTTTGTGTGATATTCAGACACTGTGACTTTGGTGACTTCTGTGTCTGAAGTCACAGCCCCCTTTTCAAGCCCATGACTTTCTTCCAACAGAAGCCCATCTTCCATCTCTGTGGTAGCAGCCACCACTCTGTAGCCCCTGAGATTCATTAGGCACCACCCCCATCCACCAGCCCCCAGGTTGACTGTGCTTACATATTCAGATTGGGTAGATCTTGGCTGGGTTGGAGCCTGGGCATCAATATTATGTAATAAACTCCCAAGGGACTCTGCATACCAAAGTATAAGAACCAGTGCTCTACTTATTAATTTTCCTTGGAGGAAAATCTATAGGCCGTTTTGTCTCTCTTCCTGTAGCAAGGTAGATCAAGAACTGCACAGTAGAGTCAGTTTACATAAACTAAGTGAAGGACAAGCCCAGCTGAAGTATCCAACTACCTTCTCAGCAAAGGAATCAAAAACTGTAGGCAAGGAAAGCAGGTATGTGGGCAGTCAGGCTATCGGCCAAGAACCAAGAAACTTGACAAAATCTCTCAAATGTTCCCATTTTTATCCTCCCTCATCTGTTAACCCATTCGCTGTAAAACTTAAAAGGAAAGAGGACTTAGTCGATATGATAGAATCCCCAGGAAAAAAATAATAAAGGGAGAAACTCAGAATAGTGGAAAGAATATGGTAGAAGTTAGCTAATGAGATGTCAACAGATTCTGGAATACAGGAAGCAGACGGAAGAGGATGGATTGATGAAGCCTGGCAAGCCCCAGCCCAGACTCCTGCTAGAGACTCTTCTGCAGAGGGGACAGCTTACTGTTCAGTAGAACCCCAGCGAGCCTCCAACATGGAGATTCTGAAATAAAATAGGCAAGAGAAAAGGAGAAGGAAAAGGGAGGGATTCACTGAAGATCTATATAGATGCTCCACGACTTACAATGGGGCTATGTCATTGTAAGTTGAAAATACTGTTAGGTAAAAAATGCGTGTAATACACCCAGCCTACTGAATGTCATAGCTTAGCCTAGCCCATTTCTCCAGAATGCATATCGCTTTCGCACCATCGTGAAGCAGAAAGTCGTAAGTTGAATCCTAAGTTGGGGACCGTCTGTATATAAGCGAGTCACCTTCCCTAATCCCTGTGTACAGACCTGTATAGGAAGCCTGAAGAACTGAAAGAACACAGGACAGGGTTCTCTAAAGAAAAGGAATAAACTATCTGCAGAGAACTAGTCGACAGAAGAGAATTGGACCCACAGTCAAGTCCCCTGACCTCTGAAGTCTGAAGGGTCAGGGTCCCCAGCCGCCTTATTCTAAACGCGTGGCTCTCAACAGGGATAACTTGTCCACCCCCCACCCCCATGGGATATTTAGCGATGCCTGGAGACTTTTTTTTGTCTGTCACACTTAGAGCTAGGAAGTGGTACTGGCATCTAATAGGTGGAGACCAGAGATGCTACTAAACCTCCTACAATGCACAGGGTAGCCCCCCACAACAGAATTATCCAGCCCCAAAGTGTCAATAGTGAGATTGAGAAACCATGATCTACAGCGAAACCTGCCAGTCAGTACGCCTTACACACATACACACGGCTCTCCAGGCACCTGTCTAGCCTGTTAACTTATTCTTACGTATGAACAGGCAGCCAGGTGTGTAAGGAAAGCCTGCGGTGTAAACGAGAAAGGTCAACGTGTAGCAGAAAGATGGATTCCAGAGAAAACAGAGCTTTAAAAAACAAAACAATCATGGTCCCAGAGAAATGTTAGGAGATAATTGCATCTAAGAAAAAGAAGGCATGATAGGAAAAAAATTAAACTCATTGCAAGCAGTGAGAGTTAAAATCAAGGAACTCCCTCAATGTAAAGAACAGAAAGAAGGAGATGAAAAATATGAAAGAAAAAATGTTATAAAGTACTCAATATTCACTTAATGGAAATTCCAGAAAGAATAGAGAAGCCAGAGGAGAGGAAATTATCAAAGACTAATATAAGGAAAATTTCCTGAGCTGATGAGAGTCACAAGACTTCAAACCCAAGAAAAGCAAATTCATTCATTCAGCATATGGCGGAGGCCCTGCTGTGTGTCAGATGTCGCATATAGCAGTGAATAAAATAAAGCTCCTGCTCTCTATGGAGCTTACTTTTTTGTGCCATAGGGAAATGGCAGAGGGGCTGGGGGTATGTGGGATGATGAGGACAATGGATAAACAAACATAATAAGCCAGCTGGACAAATGGAAAAAGCTCCACCCCACATACACATCACTGTAATTTCCAGATGCCAAGAATAAAAGGAGCTCTTCTGAGAGCGTCTAAAGAGGATAAAACAGACAGCCAACGAGAATTAGACAGTATCAGACTTCTCTCTAGCAACAGGGAATGCTGGAGAGATGATTATGGAGAAATAAATCCAAAAGTTTGAGGAAAAATTACTTTCAGCCAAGAAGTCTGTGTCTAGCCAAACAATCAAACATAGAGGCAGAATAAATACATATTTTGTCATGTAAGGACTCAGGGCCTCCTTCCCATGCATCCTTTCTTAGCAGGTTATTTTAAGATGTACATTAGCAAAATAAGCAAACCAAGAAAACAAGAACTTGGGTCCAGGAAACGAGATTCAGGACAGCAGTGGGAATTGCTCTGGCCCAGGGTGATATTTGCATGGCAGGCCTATGCAGCAAGCGGCTCAAATTGGAGAAGAATGGAGCACTCACTCCTGAGGGAGGTGTCTGGGGGGGAAAGCTAATTTGTTTAAGACTGTAAGGGGAGAAAATGAAATGCAATTAGAAACTATGAAAAACAAAAAGTTTTGTAGGAATGCTGAGAATGCCCTCTCAGCAAAGGAGTGGGTGCTACAGAGAAAAGTATTTACATAGTCATAATAATGTAAATACTACATTGATTTTCAACTTTTAGAATCAGCCTATAGACAAAGCATAATTTTTAGATTTCACTTAAAATTAAGGGAAATAAAATCTGGACTCAAGAAGGGAAATGGTTACATGAGCTCTGTTTTGCCATAACAATTTTAAACAATATAAAATTGATAAAACAAGAAATAGCAGTGTAATAAAGCTACCTACCTAAGCACTGAAACTTCCAAGTCTTTGATCCTAGGGAGTCGGGTCCTCGGGCTAAGATAGGGCAGAGGTCCACAACTCAACAGCCTCCCCATGCTTTTTGACTTATACCTCCTGCAGTTACTACTCCGATTAAATTTTTTTCATTGCTTTTTTTTTTTTGGAAAGGCTCTAGTCTTTGGTAACTGTGAGGTACAAGCTGGGGGGTTTGAGTCCCGCCCTGCTGCCAAGCTTGCAGGCAGAACCTTGAGTGGGAGTGGCAGCTGCCCCTGGAGAGGAAAGTTCCCGTGGGCCTGCGCAAACCAAAGCTGGGGGAGGGGCGGAGGAGGCCTGGAGTCTGGTCTGCACAGCAAAGGGGCCGCTGGAGAGCTCGCCACTTGCTTATCTCATGTCGCTTTTTCCTATATTTCGCTTTACATAGTTCCCATTACAGCATACGGGAGCCAGTTGAGAAGTTTCCTCAATTCTGCTTAAATAAATAAAATAAAATTGAAGAGATGTTAGGGAATTTTTGTTGATTTCCAGATTGAAGGCAGAATGAAACACGTGTAGCCCATCATTGAAATTTGATTTATTTATGGATTTCCAGTATTTCCTTTGCCATATTTTCCCCATTTTTAATTGATGATCTCCAGCATTATTTGCAAATTATTTTCATTACTGTACTTTGTTATAATTCATCATTTATACCATCCATGTTCTTTCTTTTCTTACAGATTGTGATATCTTTAGTCTGAATTTTTAACTGGAATCAGAACTGGATGTTGGGGTCACTCTTTTATTGTACCATGTGATTACCTAATTCAAAATTGCCCCCAAAAAAGTTCAGATTAGTTAATATAATTTTTTAATGTTTAAAAAAAAAGATGTATAGTAATAAACACTTTATTCTAGCAGCCGTGTTGAACAATGTATTTAAGAATTGTAAACTCCTGAAATACTGTATTTATATACACCATTGCCGTAGAAAGTACTTTGACTTAGTCCTGGTAACTGTACAGTAACTTGGTTTACTAACAAAAGTTGTGAATAAAGCTGTGAAACTAGAAAGGAGACTTTCTGAACTTTAATAGAAAAATGTGATTTTAATACTGCTATTTCTCTTCTTTTAACATAACTTTTTTCCTTCATATTCCCCAAATCAATGTAAATAAGGGTGCGTATGCGCACGCGCGCGCGCACACACATCTTTTACCACAATGGTAATGCTTCTGTAAATGTCTCTATTTGTCCCTTTGGCTAAGAATGTAATTTTTATTAGACACATATATTTTTAATATTGGCTTTTTTCAGTAAACTATCATGTTTAGTGTACAGTGAAGTTTTTTAATATTATAGGTTAAAAAATTCTTACTTGTTCTCATACATTTGTGCACTAAGGATAAATGAAAGAACATAGCTGCTTCCCCCAGATCTTGGCATCCACATAAAGAGCATCATTGTTTTAAAAAATGAAGGGTGCTTAATTGTTCCCTTTTTTCTGTATTCTGTAGGTCTCATAACAACAAACTGCAGTCTACAGCTTCTTAAAGTTCAGCGTGTTAACCTAAACATAAAACACAGCAAGAATCTGGTTGTCTGAACTATTTTAAATTAAGGAGCCAGATGTTTTTAGTCAGGTTATCCTGACAAGACTTGACCTAAACTTCGTTTTTATTGGTCATAACAGTCCAATTATATTCTTGACCAATTTTGTCCAACGGACAAGGGAAAAGCAAAGTCAACGACACCATTATCTTGTCAAGATCAAATGGTTTTATTGTTGTGGCAGAAGCGGGAAAACTTTGTTTATTGAAAAAAAAAAAGAAAAAAGAAAGCAAGAAAAAAAGATAATATGGGGTCAAGTGTAACTCCATGGAAATGCCACGTCTGCTCTTCAGTGAAGAAGCTGGTTTAGAGTCTCACAGAAAACTTTTGACTGTATTTATTTATTGTTGCAAAAAAGACGCTTTTTTATTGCTGCCCTCATTTGTCAGCTAATTATTTTTTCTTATAAAATTCAGCCCCGGTTACATGTAATCCATTCTGTATCTTATCATGATTCCTGTAGGTAAAAGTACAAGACGACCTCTAGATGTCTTTTCTTTCTATGAAAGGAGCTGCTATGTACACATGTGCACACACACACACACACACACACACACACACACACACAACTGGGAATCAACAATGCGTTTATTGTTCATGGTAGATAAAAATTAAGCTTGCATAAAGGTTGGGCTAAGTGGTCCTGGACTACAGACTCTCTTGCCTTGAATATAACAGTACAATTTGTCATTTACTCTGCACCAGGCTAAAATGAGTAAAATCTATTTGAAGGTATCTTGTTTGTAAACATTTGTCAGATTCTAATTTTTTTCTTTTTGTATTAAAATTCAACTATGGATGTATATGAAACAAAATAAATGGAGATCATTTTTCTCCCACAGATGGTGTCTTTGAATGTGCGCTAATGATTATCTGTAAGCCTTTAAGGGGAAAGGGAGGGCTGCAAGGTAAATAAGAGGCAGAAGAATCTAATAGTACCTGGATTTGTGCAGGATATTAGTGGCCCTTCATTTTATAATTCCCAGCCCATTGTAATCATGTCAAAGGAAAATCTTCAGGGGTGCTAGTCATGTTGCATCAGTTGATCGTACTAGTAAAAAAGGTAATGTGACGAAACAGACATTGCCTTCATCTGTGTATTATATGATATCAGGCAAATGATCAGTTCGACAGCTACTTATATTTTATGAAGGGTGTTTTTTTTGAGATGACATCATCTTTTTTTTGTTTGTATTTTTTGTTGGTTGCGTTGTTTTGGGTATTTTTCCACTAAGGAAAAAGTAGTGTAATCAGTAGGAAAAAAGGTGGAAACAACGGAGGAGGGTGTATTTTGCATGTTTTTCCTTTCAGTGTTCTAACCTTACACTTGTATTACGGCATTGTAATAGCTTCTAGAAGATCTTCCATGGTTGGTTTATGCAGCTTTGCAAAAATTTTACTAGATTTTGCACTAATTCATATTAGCTTTGTCCTGCCGAGTTCTGGAATTTATCTAATTATTGTTTTTAAAAAATTTCTTCTGTGTAATATCACCCTGCTATGCAAAACCTTTCCCAGACCGCAGTTTCTCAAAAGAAAGATATTGCTACAGTTCCCAATTCTTTCTTATTACAGGCTCAGGTGTACAGGTTATTCTGTGTTTTTATCTAATGAAGCCCATTTTTGTACATAAAAATGTCACTTAAACCTATGCTTACAAACTAAAGAGACGAATTGCTCAATATTAAAACATGGAAACCATTTTGCTTAAAATATTAACATGGAAGTAGTCAAACAGGTTATTTTGTCCTTTTACTTTTTGAAAAATGTTACATATTGTATGCACTGTGCTGATGCAAAAATCCTACATTTTAATGAACTATAAAATTATTCTGCATCTCATCACATCACAGTATTTCTGTACTATTTATTCATATATATAGATATAGATATATATGGGCTTAATCATTTAAAACTTGTTGCGGCAAGAACTTTCCTACTTGTAGGCAATAGATTGCTATGTTTTTAACAGATTGTGGCAAATTCTAAACAGCTATTCTTTTTGTACGTAATAGGACATTTCATCCTAGAAAAATAAAGTAATGTTTTTGACATTGGATTTGGTGCAGTTTCTAATGAAACAGTGGTTGGTTGATATATTTTCTGTAGCTGTTGGCCTTGCCAGATTGTACAAAAAAGGTAAATTTTATGGGAATCCTCTGACCAGGAAGATGTTGATTTCATATGTGTATTTAATATAAAGTTTTGCAATTTCTATCACCATATAAATACATAGACATTTTATAGTTTTATCAACTACGGAGCTTTAGTCTTCCAAAAGTAATTTTTGAAAGACACATTCTTATAATACATAAGGAGTTTCAAAAGCTGCTTTTCTATGAGTATTCTTTGACAAGCTTCTGCTATTGGATAAAATACACATATTACAGCTATTTTGCTTTCAATAATCCAAGTAGTAGAAGGCACATTTGTGATACTGTTAGGATTTTTCTACTCAGTCTTTGGGCTTGTAAATAATTTGCATCAGTAGATTTCCTTGGCTAAAGGTATTTTCAGTGCTTGTTGTGTTTCATCTGCCAAATTCACAATCCTTAAACTATTTCATAAAAAGTTATTTTCATAATATTGGTAAGGCTTTTTTTCTCCTCTCCAAATTCTGCAGGATTTGTATTTCAGTTAATGTCCTGCAGTGGGTTAAAAAAACTTGTGAACTTTTAGAGCTATTTTCTAAAGTAAAAACAATTACCTTTTGATATTCAAAATGGCCTGGAGTGTTATTTACAGACACTGACATTTACTGTTGTTTGTCATCTGCCTTCCTAGAATCTGCAGATAGAAGTTCTTTCCCTCTTCCTTTCTGTTAGGCAAACTCCCTGCCTCTTTGTGTTTCTCATATTCAAGAGCCAGCCTGGTGACCTTTTAAATCTGCACCTACAGACTGAACTAGACAGAGCTCCATGGTTATTGCAGCACTCACCCTTTTCATAATTGAGGCTATTACCCATAAGTTAGCTTTCTAGTCCTTAAAATGAGAATGGTGGTATCTCATGGGCAAAGGGATATTTTATAAGTACTTTGTGGAGACACAGCCAGCTGAGAAGTATTTTTAATAATTTGAAATCTTCAAAGGTACTTCCCGATACTTAGAATAAGATACCAAAAAAACATTTCTTAGAAGATAGCACCCCACTTGATCCAACTTGGACCAAATTCAACTGAAGAAATAAGCCAAATATTTTAAATGATAAAGTTCTGTTCCTGAAATTGGGTTGTGCATTATAGGTGTCAGGTCAGTTTTTAGGTGTTTGCATATACGTGTGTTTGATCCACCTTAAAAGTGATTTTAAGAGAAATATAAACAATGCCAAATGATATCCTTAGAAGACAGTGAAAAGCTAGTACCAAAAAAAAGTGTATATGTTTTATAGACCTTTCCCTACCAAAAGAAAAACAAGTACTTTTTTTTGTTGTCAAATTCTAGCAGCTTAATTTGAAGAAGGGATGCTAATGAGTTAGTCTTGAAGGCAACTGAGTATTTTATCGATGAGGGACTGTTAGGTGTGCAGTCCTTTGGAGCACAACAAACCCATGTGCTAAGAAGTACAGTAGGACAAAAGGATTAGGAACTACAATGAATTTCCTAATAAAAATTTTCCATAAAATTCAAGATGGCATCCAAGGTACTGACTGAATACTGAAAAGGAGATTCTTCACCTCTTGCTAACCTGGAGTTCCCAGCCTAGAGTTTATTGCCTTCTGTGGCTCTACCTCCTCTGAGCCTCACTGAACTCTCATTGCAAACCTGGTCTTAAATGATGGCCTTAGTTTTAACGAGGAAGTTTCTAAAAAGCTGGCCTGCTTATGTATGCTGGGGTGTACATACTAACTGTACAGCCAAGTATCACACAGATCACACAGTTTGGGCACATTGTGTTTCCAAAACTCAGAAACTTGAGTTATTATCAAATCAGTCTAATCAAAACCTAACCCTCAGGCTATGTAAAAGGGATTTTCCCCCCTCACTTTTAAACCAGAGTTATTTATAACTCTACTCTTCATGCTCAAACATCTGACCATCCAACCAATAATTTAACTGTTTGGCCATTTTATTTTCCCCACTGTGTTACTCAAGGTCACTACTTCGCCTTGTGACATTTAAAACTTAGGCTTTGACTTTCGTGACTGGTGCTACTTACATTTAATTTTTATCTTAAGGAAAAGTAACCCAAAAGCTCTTCACTTGCCGCATACACTGCTGTCGATAGTTTGTGTAATAATGTAGTTGATTTCCCAAAAAGTAATTCTAGTATGATTTTTAATAAATTTGGGCAAGACTCCTTTTTGGAAAATTCTCCAAGAAAATCCCTCAGTAATGCTTTAAACACAGAATAGTCAGAACCTCTCAACTTTTACTTTACCTCTTTGCTGCCGCCCCCCCCCCTTAGGGGCAAATAAGGTAACAGTATCTCCCATTACAATCAGATGTTCTGTCTTAGGCTATTGCTATGTCCTGTCCTGGCATTCTTTAGGTATATTCAGTGCTTCTGTATGGCCATTAAAGACTGTGTGCCATTACAGACTAAAGACACTTCCCTGAGGGCATCTCCTTTATGACCACATGGGCTGGTTTTCTCTTCAGTGCAGTTCCTTTTTATCTTTCTTTAGGCAGTAATCTTCAACCATGGGTTATCAGTGTCTCTATTCACAGCATTTCAAATGAACTTAAGTACAGTTGGGTCTTCTGAAAAAAACTTTATGGAGTTGTATAAAATCAATGTTAAATTCAGCTAGTGTTTAAACCTTTTTCAAACCAACTGGAAAACGCTTGAAAGTCACATGCTTGCAAGCTGTTGCTTGCAACCCTGGTTCCAGGGTTTGGGGAGTAAGTTTGAGAAAGGCTTTTTCCCAAACCTTAGGGGCTCAGTGAGGCTAAAAAAACCAGGTGCATCCAAGATCTGATTTCAAGGCAAGATTTACTGCTTTACAAACACAAACAAGATACTTGGTCTTAATAGAAAAATGACATCAGATACACCCAGCGTTGGGATAGCTGCCAGTTTGGCACAAAACATACGTTTTCAGGAGCAGGGAGGCAAGAAAATAAACTATATCTTACATTTTGGTACATCAGAAACACTTGTTTAAAAAATATTTTGCTTGAATTAAGCCCTTTAGTCTTCTTGAAGTGTAAAACTTTCTAACTTGTCTTGGGCTCTGATCCTAGTGTTTGATCTATATGACATTTCATACATGTCTGACTAGTGCACTTACTGTTATGTACAGAATTTTAAATGTGATGGTTTGGGTATAAAATTTGGTTTGATACGTGATATAAAGTATTCAAAGTTGTATATAAAATCAAGGAAATGTTTTTTGTGAACTATTTCTACTGAAGAATGTATTTAAATTAAAATAATTAAAAATAAACCACATGAAGCAGTGATCTGTTAACCGGACAGGTCAGTTAGCTGTGTGCATAACTGGCACTATAGTTGAATAACTTTGTCACGGAGCTCAGAAGCATACCATTTAAGAAGCACTTGGCAAAATAAAGTGACAACTTCAAGATTACAGTTGGAACTATGCAGCTAGCTCATAAATGAGCCTTGGGCCCTATTCTAAAAGACGATTCCGTTAGCATGATCTTTTCCTGTCTTGTTGCTGAATCCCAAGTCTCTCATGATCCAGAAATTCCAGGATGGTACTATTCAAATGCATTGGGTGTGAATTGCACCTTGAACTTGCCCATCCCTTTTTCGGTTAAACCTTTTCACATAGCTGCTGCTGCTCCAGAGCAATCCATCTCCTGGTCGGAGGCGCCCTCTTAGGACCTGGAGCAGAGCTGTCGGGAACTGCCGTCTCTTATGGTAGATGTGGCCCATCACAATATACCTGCTGCCTAAAAAATAAAACAAAATATAAATTCACAGTGTCTTTTAAAGGCCATGAAACAAAAAAATGTAAGAGTTTTAAGAAATGCCTGAGCTTGAATTTATGATCTTGCTATTATCTTGAATCTCAGGCATTTAACCCTCAGAAAACAAGTGGAAACAGTATAGGGACCTTTAGGAGATAACTAAGTTAACAGGCAACATTAGAGAACAGAGGTCCTAGTCACAACGTATCAGCAAGATATTCCAGAGCACATCTCTAGAAAGACCTGGAAGTCGGTATCCGACACTTCCCCCCAAATGACATAAACTCAGTTTAAACAGAACCCCTTACGCAGCCCTTCTGGCAACGGTGTTTCATCGTGCGCTCCATTTACTGACAAATATTTCCTGAGTGCCTGCTTTGTGCCAATCTGTGGTGTTCTCACCTTTACCTGGAGGCACGGGGGTGGGGGACTGATGGAGCTTCAATCATAGTGGCCGAAATACCTGTCATCTAAAATCTATTTTCGAATACTCTCCCAAAAAAAGATACTGGGATGACCAACAGAGACCAAGCTATGGCAACCAAGTTACAAATCGTGACTTAAAGTACACATGAAAGGTGGGCAGTTAGATCAGTTTCAATACCAGGTTTAAATTCTGGACATGGCTTATTGCAACTGGAGGAGTCTAGGGCTAACATGTGGACTCGGAAGAAAAACCCGTCCGGAGTGATGTACAGGCGGTTCATCTTGTACAGCCCGTCCCGGTCCACCAGCAGAGTCACCAGCTGGATCCCTGTGCCGAGCACGTCCACATCATGCACGATTCCGTTCACTGCTGCTTTCAAAAACAAAGAGTTTGGAGAAATGCATAACGCTCATTTCCTCTTTCTTTCCCCGGTGCGTTTTTAACAAATCACCACATAGTCCACACGGGTGTGGAGCCTGCAGGATCGAGTGGGTGGGTTTCTCTAGAGTTTGGCTTAGGGTGTCCGCGAACACAGCCGTGCGCTCTCGGCTCGGAAGGGCTCGCCAGGCTGCCCGGGTGGGCTCTGCAGCCCGAGCCCGGGAGGAGCTGCGGGGCGGGGCGGGGCTCACCGAATTCGTTCGCGCAGTAGGACTCGCGCTCGTCCAGGTCCGCCCCGCAGGCGCGCGCGCAGGGCTCGGCGCTGGGCTCCGTGTCCGTCCGCGGCGGGCTGAGACGCGGGGGCGGGGGCGGCGCGGCGGCGCGCGGCCGGTTTGG